TGTACAAGCAGTACATGAAGTTTTCTTTCGATTTCTGAAATGTATTCATAACAGATGTGTGGACCAACCATATCAGTTCCATGTGGACCAACCACATCAGTTCCTATATGCCTCAGTATGGGAACCATCCATGTCAGTTCCTATATGCCTGAGCATGTGAACCATCCATGTAAGTTCCTATATGCCTCAGCATGTGAACCAACCATGTCAGTTCCTATATACCTCAGCATGTGAACGAACCAGGTCAGTTCCTATATGCCTCAGTATGTGAACGAACCATGTCAGTTCCTATATACCTCAGTATCTGAACAAATCATATCAGTTCATATATACTTCAGTATGTGAACCAATCATATCAGTTCATATAAACCTCAGTATGTGAACCAACCATGTCAGTTCCTATATGCCTCAGCATGTGGACCAATAATGTTAGTTCCATGTGGACCAAACATGTCAATTCATATATACCTCAGTATGTGGACCAATCATATCGATTCCTAAATACCTCAGTATGTGGACCAATCATATCGATTCCTAAATACCTCAGTATGTGGACCAATCATATCAGTTCCTATATGCCTCAGTATGTGAAACAACCATGTCAGTTCCTATATGCCTCAGTATCTGAACAAATCATATCAGTTCCTATATACCTCAGTATGTGGACCAATTATATCAGTTCCTATATACTTCAGTATGTGAACCAACCATATCAGTTCCTATATGCCTCAGTATGTGAACCAATCATATCAGTTCATATATACCTCAGTATGTGAACCAATCATATCAGTTCCTATATACCTCAGTATGTGAACCAACCATATCAGTTCCTATATGCCTCAGTATGTGAACCAATCATATCAGTTCATATATACCTCAGTATGTGAACCAATCATATCAGTTCCCATATACATCAGTATGTGAACCATCCATGTCAGTTCCTATATGCCTCAGCATGTGAACCATCCATGTCAGTTGTTATATGCCTCAGCATGTGAACCAACCATGTCCGTTTCTAAATGCCTCAATATGTGAACCAACCATGTCAGTTCCTATATACCTCAGTATCTGAACAAGTCATATCAGTTCATATATACTTCAGTATGTGAACCAATCATATCAGTTCCTATATGCCTCAGCATGTGAACCAACCATGTCCGTTTCTAAATGCCTCAGTATGTGAACCAACCATGTCAGTTCCTATATACATCAGTATGTGAACCAATCATATCAGTTCCTATATACCTCAGTATGTGAACCAATCATATCAGTTCCTATACACATCAGTAGTTGTTTCTTCTTATTAGTTTTAATCTGTTCGGGTTGGTCTAGCGGTGTAAATTTTTCGTTAATTATTAAGACGTAAATGGTGTTTATGTTTAACTTTATATCCTCTGTCGGAACTACAAGTTTCGTCAGATTTTAAAGAGATGATCTCTGAACCAGCTAGGATCTAATTATTGAACAGAATGATCTAAGAATTATTAGATGTCAAAAGGATTTTCTTTTTATAAATCACGAGACAATATAATTAGTGAAGAAATATTAAAACTAGCAAATTGACTTGTGAAATTTTAATATGTTTCAGTTTTAAATTTTCCAGAAAGTTCCTTTCCAGGCTGCTAATTATTATTTATTATTATAAATATTCGTAATGTGCAAAATTCGAGGTTAATATCCGGCTTCGTTGAAATCAAAACAGAGTTCTAAAAATACCGATACCATGAATGACAGATATTTATTGATACTTTTAGTTAAATACAATTTCATCAATTTACATGCACAAAAAAATGACTTGAATATGGGTTGTTCCAACAATATCCGCTATCATATCATGATATTTGTTCACAGAATCCAATATATCTTCAACGACAGCACCTGGTGTTATTTTTACGAAACTCGGCGCGCCTATTGATAGATATTGAACGAGGAAATGTTTTCACACAAGCTCTGATACTAGTTGCACTTTAAGCCTAAAGGAAGAGAAGGCTGATTACTTGGAGAATTTGAATAGGGTAATAAGACTTCGTATCGATCCATCAAAGTCCGATGTCTTTCTGGCCTGACAAGCATGAAAACCTAAAAGCGCCGTGATATCAGTCTTTTATTTCCCGAAGGAACGCCGGAAAATAAGAACACGCATAAGAATTTAAAATTACGCTTCTATTTATACGAGAAAAATATTTATTTGCTACGCTGTCAGAGGGATAGGGACAGCATTATTTCCGCAACTTCCCCTTGACGTTCTGACGGAAGGCTAATTTCCCACACCACTACGTTTACTGCTCTTAGAAACGAAAGATGCATTAGGATCATGCAAAGGGGGGGGGGTATCATCAAACATACTAATAACAATTACAATGGCTTTGGCTAACAGGCTAGCGAATTTGTTTTACCAAAATAATGGAACTTGCTAAGGCAGCAGAAAGAAATAAATATTTCGTACTAAACTAATTGCAACGAAACAATACAGTTTTCATTCCATTAAACATGAGCGTAGATATACAGTTTCGGGATAGAAACATTACCCTGGTGGATTTCTTTGTCTACCTCTCGAACCTGAAGGATACACATGATCTTTCATCACAGAGAGAGAAATGTGAAACAAGGGAAATCACGACGTGCACACAGGATTGATTAGACAGACATCCACATGTTAGATTATCCTCTCGGAAGTTTTCACACACTATTTGTTTTCTCTTTTCTGGGATATGTATACGTACTTAAGGTTCAATATTATCCAATATAGAGATTAGAATTATGTACATACTAGCGACTATTAAGGTTCATTGTTACCATTATAGAGGCCAGACTTATGTACATACTAGCGACTATTAAGGTTCATTGTTACCATTATAGAGGCCAGACTTATGTACATACTAGCGACTATTAAGGTTCATTGTTACCATT